AATATTAGAAACAAATTAAACGAATGTAAAGTACATTATTAGTCCTTTGAAGATAATAGAACTCGATCTATTCGAACTATCATTAGTGAAGTCCACAAGCCTTTAATTTCCTTGATTAAGAAGTTAATACAAAAACTTGCTTTCATGATCCGACGAAAAAAGTGCTTTTACAAAGAGTAAAAAAAGCTGAAAAAGAAACGATTACTTGGACTTTTGAACAAAGACGCTAGCAAATGAAATGATGATTAGCAAGAACGCAAGTGTTAATTTCTTAATATTGTTTGTTGAAAGCAACATTGGCGTCATAATTTCGTAAATTTAATTTCGATTAATTAAAATGTAGATTATAGTTAAGTTGTGTTACATTGTCAAACGCGGGATGTTAGCTAATTCACTATTTTCTCTGAAAAAGATAGTAGTCATACGTAGTAACCAATAAGCTATAACTTGTGAGTTTTATCGTACAAGCCAAAAAACAAAGAAATTACGGAAAACATCTATGTAAGATAAGAATAACATCATACATTGAAGAATACCATAAGTACATCGCTAAACACCGCCAATATTTGGTGCAAATGGACAACCATATTCTTACTACTTCACCATCCCTTATCCTCCCCAGCGACCCAACACCCCATTCGACCGGCGACAACCACCACCACCCTGATCAACGACCCACCACATCCCCCTCAATGATGACCCACTACCTTCCATCGCCGACGACAAAAGGTGGTGGTTTTTTTTTAGGGAAATTCTACATGGTGGTCTCAAGGATTCAGTTTTTCTACGTGGAAGACGAACTTTTTTCCAACTCTCTTAAGTGGCACCAAGGTTTTGAAAAATTAAACATAGTACCCAATTTTTGATTTTTTGACTAACTTTTTTAATTTTTGGTTAACCATAAGTAATTAAAAAAATTATTGAAAAAAATAAAAAACCACCATCCAGCACCCGCCTGCCAAACCCACTGCCCACGTCGCCGGCGCGCCCAGACCCCCTCCCACGGTGTCGGTGTGCCTAGACCCCCCTCCCTCGGTGCCAGCGCCACCCTGACCACCTCCCTTCCCCTTCCCTAACCTCCGTAACCTCAGCCCCCACCAATCGAAAACCCCCTAAAAGTTGCCGAAAAAGTCTGGCTGCCCCTCCTCACACACTCGAAACCCTAGCGTCGGCCTTTTCGAGGTGTGGGGTAGGGGCGACCGGACTTTTCCCTATTTTGTGGCTAGGGTTTGATGTTGTATGATGGCTGGGTTGGGGTTTCGAGGGTGGTGGCTAGGGTTTTGGGTTTCGAATGGTGGTTGAGGAAAAAAGGGGGTGGTTTTCGTGATTGCGCTGGTAAAATTGGGTTCAGGGCTAGCGGAGGTGTAAGGCTAGGGAGGGGGCAGTGGCGATGGGCGTGTGTGGGTGTGGCTGGCGGCAGTGAGGGTGGTGGGTTTGGTGGCTAGTGGCAATGAGGGTGGTAGCTTTGGTGGCTGGGAATGAGGTTAGTTAGTTTGTTTAGTGTAAAACTAATGGTTAGCCAAAAAAAATCAAAAAAAGGTCACTATACTTAAATATGAAAATCTAGAGTGCCACTTGAGAGAATGCAAAAAAACATTGTCAGAAATAAACTTGAGACCACAATGTAGAATTTCCCTTTTACATTTCCGGTTACCGTGGCTGGTTATAACCGGTAACCGGCTGTCAGAAATAAAAAAAAAAACCACCACCTTCCCATCGGCGAGGGAAGGTGGTGGGTCGTTATTGAGGGCGATGTGGTGAGTCGCCAGCCAAGGTGGTGGTGGTGATCGTCACCGGTCAATGTGGTGGTGGTGGTCGTCGCCGATCAGGGTGGTGGTGTCAAGGTGTTAGTGATTGGTGGCAAGAGAGAAGATAATGGTGAAGTACTAAGGGCATGGTTGTCCATTCACACTAAATGTTGACGGTTTTGATTATTTTAAATGACGGTATTTAACAACCCCAACATAATGGAGGACTAACTTACAAGCCTAATGAAGTAATGATCTACTCTAGTTACTACCTATTGGTTGTAAGTTTAGAGCTCTGTTCGTTGAGCTTTTATGCTCAGACTCCTTCAACTTGGTTTATAAAAATTCAAAATAAATATTTAAAAGGGAAAACTTTAATTTGATGCCTGACCTAACACTTACAAAGTTACTCGTCTACCATGGAGTATCAACTTATTCATTACTTTTGCTACATGTTTTAGCTTTTGTAAAGGGTTATAAGACTTTAACCACAGCTCACACCATTGAACAGGGACTTTAATTAAAATTAAGGTAAGAGTTAAGTACGTACTTAAATTCTTAATTAATTACTTGTATTTTGGTTGGAAAATTTTGTGATAACATGTAATTTTAAACATTATATTACATAAATCTCATTAGTTTTATATGTTGTCCTTTCATTAATACAAACAACGCATTTTAATTTCTACGGGGCTGGCCACACCGTGTGGCCGACTGACACACACTAGAACACTGACCAGGTAACCCCTGACCGAGTAATCTTTTACTATCTGACCGACTGAGTAACCCCTGACTGAATAATCCCTGATTGATCGAGTAACCCCTGACTGACGGAGTAATTCCTGACCAAGTAATCCCTGACCGACCGAATAACCCCTAAATAAGTAACCTCTGACCGACCGAGTAATCTCTGAATAAATAACTCCGGCCACACGGTGTCAGCTATATATGAAATTTTATGTAATACAAATATTAATCTGGATGCATCAACATGAAGTTTGAAGAAATGATAAATTAAGCACTCAATTCTTTAACATTGAATAAATTTACGCTTGCATCATAGTTAAAAGGACGTGATATATTACAATGACTCGATGAAGATAGACCAAGCTAACAATTAGCTTATACCTAGAGTTAAACTTAGGGAGAACTTTTGGACAAATATTAGAGTAAAGATTTATGGTCTCTTAAAGTAATATTTTTAGTATTGTCTTAGTCAATATTTCGTACTAGTTATCATCAAGGTTACCCTATCAATCTATCTTTATTTGTATATCTCATTTCTCTTTTGAAAATGTCCCGATGTAAAATTTTCAGTTAAATTTCCTTCCAAAATGAGAGAGAGGATGAAAAATTGAAAATGATACATTTATTAAAAAGATTGTTTTAGTAAAATTATGGTTGTTTTTTTTTTAAAAAACAAATGTCACGTTTAAGAAAATACACACGTACTATACAATAATTTCTATGGTGAGCAATAAGCCACTTGAGATAAGCATGTACACAACCTTAGTTTGCTTCACTTTTTCTAAGCATTATAGAAGGCCACAAATCAAATGACGCATGCCAAATGCCAATTACAATAAAAAAACAAACATTATGATAAATATCTATATTACACTAATTAATAATTTAAAATGTAAGTATATACTTAAATTAGGCCTTCAAAACCAATTCCACAAGCAAACTATTTAAACATAGAAAAATAAAATATGTTATGAGCCCACTTTTCCAATATCATAACTCAAAATACAATAGCATGCATATGGAGATTACTTGATTAGCAACTTGTTAACTACTTTTGTAATTTTGTTTTAAATGGTTAAATAAACCATATCTTATATTGAAAGAACATATTTTCTAAAAAGAAAAAAGGGCGTTAATTATGAATAAATAAATATATAATTGTGGTCCTTCAATACAAATGGCAATTACAAGAAGAATTAGAGATCAAAAAATAGCAAAACCTCAACATCATGCTGATGAATAGCATGACATAAATAGTCAGGGTACTAATAATTTTATATCCTTTTAGGGATGATTGCGTTACTAGCATATATGCACTAATTATTATTACTAACATTACCTTTGATAAAGTTTATTTTGTAAGCATTGGAAAATGATTTGTCTGTTGTAAATGAAAGAAGCTAGACAAGTAAGGCATTCCACCAGAGAAGGCTAATGATCAATGGTATGAGTTTAATTCTCAAACGGAGTAGTACATATTTGATGTACAGAATTTTAGGTAGGTTATAACTTATAACGGAACTATTATGTGAGGGCATAGATAAATATTACATTCCAAGACCAAAATTAAATTTTTTTTTTTTTTTAAAAAAAAGTTTATGGAATACTCTTTCTCACTTTCAAGTATCAACATTAAACAAGTACATCAATTTCAAAACGATTATTAGAAAAACAAAAAAATCAAAAATTACCAAAATTGGAGAAAAAGGAATACTTAGTGAACTCTAGGTAGATACATACATTAAAGGGGTCAATTTTTTTTGGGTAAAGAAATGGTGAATAAATTTTTAGGAAGTCTTTGATCATTTAATCGCACAAGTAGGATGTTATTACGGACTATATGTCTATATCCATAATGCATTGATGATGAAGCCAATAAAGTAAGTGTGTCCACACAGGGTTGCCTGCGTACGTGTGTGTATGTTTGTATGTTTTGAAACTTGGGGAAGAAAATCACTTCATAGACGATAACAAATAAGCCCTTAATGTAACTTTTGAAACTCGTTCAATGAGTAAATGTTAAGTGATCAGATAACTGCTATCTGGTACGCAACTATGCATACAACTCACTGAAAATTTTCAGGTGGCCAGAATTGAATTACTGATGATTGTTATGACAAAAAGCTAAAGACTAATATGACTAATGAGGAAAGATTATGTAAATGCAGTCACGTAGATGCTAATAGGTTCACAGATTAACATGATCAATCACATTAATGAAAAAAGGGCATTTGATAGTGGTTGATTCTCCCTCTTTTTTACTTGCTCATGTTAAAGAAAAATACTGATGGAATTATTAACACGGCAGTGTAATTGTATTGGTTGTTTAAATCAACAAAATTGTGATACTTGACTAGGGTGAAGTTTTTCCATCTAATACGACAAGGCACTCCATTTGTCCGGAAATAATTGTTACAATATCTAGGCCCCTAATAGTAGATGAGTAATGATATCAAACAGAATCACAAGAAATAATCCTTTATCTTATGATGTTTAAGCTATTCATAATTTGATTAACGTGATAATTTTTTTTGATAATTTTTTATCCAGGACCTTATAATACTTAATCTTCGAAAGAAGCTCCTGTGCTGAGATGCTTTAATATTAAACGAAATTGAGACTCTGCATTCCCCTGCTGTTTCTGAGTCAAGTTCAAGGAAATTCCCATAACATAAAATTTAATACTTGAGAAAACAAATTAAGAATGATACTATACAATATTACAACTTTTAATTATGCAGATTATACTGAAGTCTGAGACTTAGTGGTTAAAAGGATCCCTTCAAACTTCTAAGTGACACTATAGAATGCAATCACTGCTAATACTATATGAATTCCCTATGATTCAAAGTGAATTTTGTTTTTGTTACAAAATGAATATGCTGGAATGTAAACTATATTTTGATTGTGACACTTCCTGTTCGTTATCTACTGCTTCTTAAGTAGTCCGGATCCTAACAGATGTAGTGCAATGTATACCCCGTTTAAATGGAAGACTCGTACTGTCTCAGCTGAATGAAGTCCTTTCCAAGGCCTTACCTATAGTCTGTTGATAACGTCGGAGATGTATCCCAACAGCTCAGAAATCAAATTTGATGCAATCATCTGATGTTCAGGTCTGAATGGAGAAGAGCAGCGTCTTTGACAAAAGGGATACTGGAATATTCACCAGCAAGAGCACATCTCATGCACTCCAACACCGTAACCAAAAAGAAAAAAGTGGCAGCAGACCAAAAATGTGGAGGGAAGAACCGCGAGGGGAACCAATTGCTTGATATCCCAATCGCCTGCACCAAACTCCCTAGCAATACTGCTGTAATAACATGAAACCTGAAGAAATGAGGCCATTCTTTCCGCCTTACTATCTAGAAGTAAAACATGATAGGGTAACATCACAGGAAAAACTTGGGGAGTGCTAAGAGGGAGCTGTGCAATGGGAATACTAAGTTATCAAGGTTCTCGAGGAATGGCGGAGGGTTATTGGTAGGGTGAGCATAGAGCCAAGTGAGCTGGTCTAGGAAATTCATCAGATATGGCAGACATGCCAAAGACCTCCACCACCATTTTGGTTTCTCTAACATTTTCGGGTATGGTGGGAGACTGAAGAGTGTGTCCTTTGATGCCCTTGGGAGATAGGAGCCTCTTTTCAAAGGCGAAAATGAGAGATTATGCAAAAGGCTATCTTCATTTGATTGCTTGTTGATTGCTAATGGTGCTGAGAAAGCAGCAACGTGCAAAGGGCAAGCTGAAAGAATTCAGTTAATCTCAACTAGTAACTTCTTTGTAATATAAGAATTTCCTCCAACTGAACAACATTTTAGGCAACGATATCAATTTCAACTGAATGAAAACAAAAACTCAATTATCATCACATGTTTTAAAAAAAGAACTTCAGTGTTCTAATAAGCATTGAGTGGAAAATGTCTGAGAAACCCGTATACAAAAATTAACTGTCATTCTAACTCATTCGATATAGTTATATTGTTTTCAAGATAGTGTTGGGGTAGTGAGATGGGTTTTGATTGCTCTAAAATTAGATTCAGGACCAGCCTAAAAAATGTTTCACAGAATATAATGCTATGAATGTAACATAAATATACAGATAGAAACAAAAGTATGCTTAGACAGCATGTAATTACTCACCCTTAATCTTCAATCTTGGAACCACTACATGATCACGACGAACAGGCTGGCTAACCTCTACATGATCACGACGAATAGGCTGTCTATATCGGTAATTAAGAACTGCCGGTGCATAAAAGCATGGCTGTGCTATCACACCTGCGACAGAGCATTAAAAACAAAGTAAGAAAACATGATGGGAAGCTAAATACAGAGGAATTTAAATTACAATGATCAATTTATACTCCTCCGTTTTACAGTAGGAACATCATTTAGAGACGAAGGTACTAATTTACAATCTTCCAAGTTAATAGACAAAAACCTTCCATCAAACTGCCAAATTTATACTGTATGAAAAGTAGAACACACATTATCAAACAGACGACAGGAGGAACATCATCCTAGCACACTCTTCAAACAATTTATCTTCCAATTTTTAAAAAAGGGTGCCCAAAAAAAAATTAAAAAAACATACACATGATTATTTGTCTTCAATATATCTTCCAATCAGCATAAACTAATTCTAGATTTTAATGAATATTATAGAAATATATCCCACAAAGACGAAGACTCGACACTTTTACATTTCAATGATTTTCCTCATTAAACACTCTAATAAGTAATTACTGTTTTTCGACCATTTCCATAGTTTTACTTTTCCATAATGGTTTTCGAGTTTATCTTCTTGATAAACAATCAAGATTGAAGGTCCCAAAGCTAACCATAACTATCATACAAGTTGAAGGGAGAATTCTAATCAAGTACAAAAAATGCAAAAACCTAAAAACGTCAAAAAAAAAAAAAAAAAAAAAAATCGCATTATGCAGACCATATGTAAATGAAAAACTTCAATAATCACAACTAGCAACTACAATGTACCAATATATCTTGATTCATACATTGATAACAGATTTTTCCATAGAACAAGATATATATCATAAAAGTAACCCTAGGAAAAAATAATCGTAATACAAAAATAAAGACATATTAACAGAAAAACATCGAAAAAATTAACCTGTTTCGTTCATAACATCAAAAAACAATGGATTCTATGATAAATTTCAAGAAGAAAATATTAGAGAAACAAATTCAAAAAATGCAAAATCATAATGAATTTACCTTGCATTTTCTCGAAATTTGAGAATTTACAAGAATGTCAAGAAATCTCTACTCAAGTTTAATGGAGGATTTATTTCGAGTATCCTCCGATGAAACGAGAGAGAAACTTGAACCTTTTTTTTTTTTTGGAAAGCTTTTTTCTAGAATCTGAGAATTTGCTTGGAGAAGGGTTTTTCTATTTTCTACATTTTTGTAGAAATTGGGCTGGGCCTACTTTTGATTTGGGTTAATGGACCTGATTGGGCTGTAGTTTTTAGGGTTTGGACTTGATGTTGTTTGGACTGAGTTGGTTGAATTTGGGAGGATTTTTCAACCCTTGTAGTGGATGTTTCACCGGTTCAACATGGTAAAAGGATAATCATTGTATAGTAGTCATTGTGATTGTGACTCATACAATAATATGATTCATATGAATATTCAAAGTCATAAACAATACCAAGTCAATTTGTGGATGTATACTCTAGTGGTAATTGATATTTGGAATATGGGATCAATTTTTAATTTTAACATCGTTACATGTATTTCTTGTCAACAACAAAGTATTTTCATCGTATGTCCACAACAAGACCGAGAGGAAGTTTTATTGATTTTGGAAAATATAAAGAGCATGTTTGTTAAGAGTTTTTTTTAGGTCGGAAACAGATTCAATTAAACCATTGTCGTTATCAAGTGTTTGGTTGGAAGGCTTGGGTAACAATTACCATTGCGTAAAGATAATGGTTTCCACCCATTTGTTACCTCTCTAAAACATAAGGTAACAATTTCCCTTATTCTCCTTAAACCAAAAAAAAAGGGGTTGGTTTAAATGATTCCTTTTCATGATTAAACCAAACAAATGAAAAGGTAAGTGTTAAATGATTCATTTCCTCCCTCTTATTTGTTTTCTTTCCACTCTATTTCCATTATTCGTACCAAACGCCCACAAAGAGTGGAATCCAAAGAGGTTAAAGACTACTAACATGGAAATGTGATAGATAGACCATCAAAAGTAGGTTTAAGTATAAAATTGCAGCTCAATATAATCGAAACCATTAGTATTGTTTTGGATCATTCTTAGGGGCAGCGATTTGAGGAATATTCTACTCCTTTCGTTTCAAAATAAATGCTCCACTTTAACTTTTTGTACCATTCAAAAGAAATGAGTCGATTTTTTAAGGCAAAGCACGGCTCGATCTATGATCACCTCTACAAATATGTACTCGTACTAATTTTGGTTGTAACTATTCTCTTTTGACCATTTATGAACCTCAAAGGAGATAGTGCACAAATGTTGTGGCAAATTAACCCAATTAGGTCATTTCGAAATAGGTCAATATATAGCCATGGTTAAAAGTGGGAGGTGTCGCGCACTCCTCGTAGAAAGGACGAAACAACCAAAAAAAACAAAGAGGGCATCTCCATCGTCCAGTCTTCTCCACTCTCTTTCACAGACAAAAGCTGACACTATGACAAAAACCCACAACCCCCATTTTTTAATTACCACATAAAACTCCATTTATTTTTATATTTAACCTAAAAATCAAATTTAATTAAAAAAAATTAAAAATAAAGCAACCCAACTCAACCCCAAATTATTACAAAAAAAATTAGAAAATAAAAAAAGTGAAGAAAGAGAGTGTAAAAGAGAAGTGAAAAGGACCCCACCTTCCCTCTCAAAAGGCACAATTCCCAAAGTCATCACCCCTCTTTCTCTCTCTCTCTCCTAAACTCCGTCTTTCTCCCCGGGAAATATTTCTCCCCTTTCATCCAAACAAACCCCCACTTTCTTCTCTATCTCTCTACAATTTCTGGTATTCGACGTTTTGGTCTTTTTTAATCAACCCTAAATCATAAAGGTACGATTTTTATGTCTTTTTCTGTTTGTTGATTGTTGAATTCTTGGAAAAACCCTAACTTTTTGATGTAAAATGTGTTAATTTCTGTGTATGTTTATCAGGGTTATTGAAAGTTTTGATTTTTAGAAGGAATTTGTTTGGGTTTTTGTGTTATTTGTTGTTAATTTGACTAAATGAGTTTCATTTGAACTGATTTTGTTAGTGATTGTTTTGTTTGGTTGATAATTTGATATGAACTTCTGGAATTTTTGTGGGATGAAATGAGTGGGTTGTTTTTGGGGATATTTTAGAAGTTTTGAGTTAAGGGTAGTAATTAGAACTAATGTTTGGTGAATTGGTGGAATTTGGTCCAAACGGATTGTTAGGATCAAGCTTGTTTGGTGAAGTCATGTGTTTTTCCTTGTTGGGATATTGATGTTTGATGTTGATTACAGTAATTGCACTAAACCAGAATAGTTCATGGGAAATTATATAGAAAGCTATGAGTTTGTGGGAAGCACTTGAGAGTGATGCTAGCCAAACCCTCTTTCACAAGATCCCCCAAATTAAAAAATACGATTAAGAAGCGTCAAGAAAAGCAAAGAGCCATTTTGTGTATTTTGGTTGTGTCGGACAGAATCTTTATCATGACTTGTGAGTCACCAATGGAGACACTGGAAATGTTGAAGGAAGAGTTTGAGGGCAATGCTCAAACAAAGTTGGTGCAAGTTTTGAACCTCAAACGAGAGTTTGAGTCTTTGAGATGCATAGGATGAAGAAGAGCGAAACTATAAAATAATATGTGAGTTAATTTATTACCGTTGTTAATCAAATTAGATTACTTGGTGAAACATTTTATAATGAGAGAGTGATTGGTAAATTTTTTGTGAGCGTATGAAAAATATGAGTATTAAGTTTCTCACTTGAACTTTAAAAATCTATCCAAAATAACCCTAGTAGAGTTATTCATTGCCCTTAGTGTCAATAAAGGAGGAAAAAAATGGAGAAAAAATTGTGCGATTTACTAGCTAAATCTTCATTTTCAAAAGGGAAAGGTAGTAAAGTGAAATGCAGCAACTGGCAATTGTCAAAAGATTGGTCCATGAGGAAAGGGGTTGTTGGCATTAGGGAAAAACCAAATTTCTTTGAATGTAAAATTTTGAGCATATTGTAATTGTAAGGAATTGTAAGTTTTAAGATAATGAGATTGAAAATGTGGCACTAGTAGCCATGAAAGTTCTTGAATGGCGAGTGATAATGTGCACAGAAGGAGAGAAGTGCTCCAAAGATTAGAGGTTGGTGATAATGTGCATCATCTATATTTGTATGAGATGAGATGTGCATCAAAGTTGAAGAGACATGCTTCACATATATTTTACAAATTTGAAGGAGAGGTTGTGTTAAGTTACTGCCTCAAATTAATTGTAAGTGGGTTATTTGTTTCCTTGTTTTTAGAGTTAGTTATTGAGTTATGATTGTTTTAAATTCAACTAAGCATGTCTTTATTTTTTAGTCACCTCTTTATTGTTTAGTCAATGAGTAGTGGACTATTTAGTGGGACACTAAGCCACTACTTCCACATTAGTAGCAATGTTATTGGATATTTCCTGTCTTATTTTGCTTATAAAATAAGCCTCATCTTAATAGTTCATATTGAGTGGGAATGAATGAGCTTTTCTTAAGTTTAGTATTTCTTGTTTTGCCAACTTCTGCGGGATCTCACTTAAGCTGCTTCTGTTGTACACCCTCTGACCCTAATCCACCAAATTTCTGTTTAGGATTGTTATACATAAATAGTAGATGTTCTGTATCTTGTTTGTTCAATTTACAACTTGTACATATTACCCTTAATGATAACCTAAAGGGAAGATTACCTTGTTGCATGATAAAGAATTAAAGACATTAACATTTACGTTATGAAGGATACTTACGGTATTTCAACTCAATTTCTTAATCGTGGCCTATCTAGGGATAGAGAGACTGAGGGAGTATCTAGTTCAGAGATAACTGGCAATAGTCTATCTAGTTATTTTAGCATTATTTTGTTCACTAGTCTTTAATTTTTATTTTTTTCTAGTCATCAAAATTCATAAATAATTTTAGTGCTGCCAAGCAGGGAAAAACAGTTTTGCTTCTGCATTTAAGCTAGTTGGCTTCTGGTTTGTGTAGATTAGTGGGCCAGAACTTTCTTTGGTTGACGTTGCCCTCATGTATATCAATGTTAAGAACATCATCAGCCACTGTTTCTCCTTTGACTCTTTTCCCACAGTTAATGACGTTGTTGCTTCTATCTTGCTTTAGTTATGTTTATATAATTTTTTTTTGGGTTGATAGGTTTCATTTATTCACAGTTCAATTTCTTGATTTGCTTCTGATTGAACACAACAATGACATAAATCCCCACTGCTTGTTGGAGAGGCTGACTATGATAAGACTTGCAGAGAGACATGGGATGATATACTGCAATGCTTTTTTTTTTTAAAAAAAAATAAAATAAAAACCTTAATAATTATTCATTTCTGCAGAAAGACGTGGTATGCTAGTGGAGTAGTGGTAGATCTCTTGCTTGACATTCCTGAGACAGATTGTTTTTTTAGTAGCATATGACCGGCTATGGGTTCAGTCTGTTGTGTAGCTGCTAGGAATACGACTGTTTCCAACAGAAGTGGAAATGGAGAATCTCATAGGCAAGCCAGATATTCTCCTTCTTGGAGTTTTCGATGGGACAATTACCGACGTGTGGCAGGTGAAAATGAGAACCCGTCATGTCAATCTGGTGAAAGAACAAACATAGATGTTAGAATAGAATTGAAAGATGGAATAGGGTCAGAGAGAGGTGTTATTTCAGATGGTGGTAGCCCTTTGGATAATCTTGGTACACCCATCTCACAAAAGTCACCCTCGTATGAAGGGGTCAGTACAAACTACTTGTCTCCTTCAGGTAAACCTTTATAATGCCTCTCATAGCTATATGTTGTACGTTTTGCTATTATATTTACCCGATATCTTTTTTCCTATTTATCTCATCACACATCAGCAATTCAGCACTACCATTCAATTTAATATGCCATATTCATTTGCTGTATTTTCTTTGTACTTTTAGTTTAGGATTATGCTTCATAAGTATTTGGTTGGCATAATTTGCCTTTATCAGAAGGACCTTTCTCTAGACTTTGCCAAGGCGTGTCCTGTAAATTTTGCCTTTGTTCTAGTAGCTATGAGGAAACTTGTCTTGTGATTGACAATTAAAGCAGAGCCTATGACCTTGCTGCTGAATATTTGATTCTCGATGTTATTAATATGCTCCGATTTACTTGAGTATGTGGTTGATTTACTAGACTTCTGCTTTGGCTGATGCCTTTTTTCTTTGATGTTCCAGAGACATCTATGACCAGCAACCACTTTACAAAGGTGAGTTCATTAACACTCGTACTACCGTTTTGAGAATATCTTAGTGTGTTCCATTGTGCAAGGTTATTTCCTTGTTTTTCGCTGTTTTGACGTGGTGATCACATTATTTTGACAGATGAACTCTATAGAAGTGCCTGAAATTGCTGCTGTTCCAGTTGCCCTTCAATATTCCATGCCATCATGTTCATCTTTCTCAACACCAGGTGAGCACTTGTGTTCACATCGTCAGCTACTTCCTGCCAGTTCAACCCCATCAAGACGAGCTCGACGTTCACCTGGACATCAACTCTTTAGGCAGATTTCAGATAGTAGAATCCTGGGCTTGAAATCCCCAAATAGCAATCCTGTCTCAGAAGGAAGACCATCATTTGTGCTCTCAACGTTTAGCAATGATCTAGCTGGTGGGTCTTCTGATGGATGGTCATTGCGCACATTTTCTGAACTTGTTGCTTCTTCTCAAAGAGAAAGATGGTCTTTTGACAGCGAGCGTTTTGGTTCTGGCCGTCACAAGATAAGTGGATCAAGCAGCAGGTTCTCTTATTCCCCTTCCCTTGATCTTCAAACATGTGGAGCATGCTTAAAGGTTTTGGCAGAGCTCTCAGTTGTTGCTGTTCTAGCATGTGGTCATGTATACCATGCTGAATGCTTGGAAACCATGACTACAGAAGCTGAAAAATATGACCCTGTTTGCCCAATTTGCACAGTTGGGCAGAAACAAACTTCTAAAATGTCTAAAAAAGCTTCAAAAGCAGAGGCAGATTTGAGAATGAAATTTCAGAAAATATCAAGGAATCGCGTAATAGATAGCTACCTTGATGGTGAAGTTGATAGCTCTGAACGTCAAAAAATTACAGGGAAAGGGAAGTTACCCAAGATGGATGCAAGCAGTAGTTCAAAGATTGCATTTGCAAAGCCGTTCTTGAAGCGACATTTTTCTCTTGGATCAAAGCTCAGTAAATCTAGTTCAGACTGCCAGTCCAGTAAGAAGAAAGGGTTTTGGGCAAGATATCGCAAAGATTGACTTCCATCCATTATTAGATGGTGAGCACAAAATTCCAGAATAGCATATTTGTCTTCCCTGTTTGCTAAGGTTTTGCTGAATTTTGTTGTTGCTTTTGTTGCAGTATCCCTATTATTGTCATTCCATTAAGCTGGTGTTACCCGGAGTTAGTGTTTTGGAAAACATACTATCACATGTCTTAGCCACCATAATGTATCATAGTAGATTGGAGGGCATTGAAAGAATCTGAACTTTTGCATGCATCACAGGAGTTCCTGATATCACACGTTCAGAGAAGGTGATAGGAATCAGAAAGATGATATGGTACTAGGAAACTAAACTTCCTAGTATTTTTCTTTTATAAGCTTTAATTGTTGGTGTCTGGATATCCTCTGCTAACTTCTGAGGACACTAAATGCTGCAACAGATCAGCAACTATATGCCTCAGTAACAAGATAGACTATTATTGGTTATAATTTCTTAGTGCTGTATATACCGCATGTTTTTTTGGCGGTTCCCCTCTATTAGAGCGAGGTTGATCATTGTTAATGAGGCTCTTCATGTTGATTTGGCTGGCTTTGTAGCATGACTGTTTGGCTACTTGACAATAGACTTATCGTGCAGCCAGTTGCTAACAGCAACATTAACTTGTGTCTGGTATATGTGCGAACATTATGCAGTGTTGCATGCACCAAGTTGAATCATGTAATTTATGAATATTTGAAGGTCTTGTAATAGGCAGTGTTCTACATTCAGTTTGAATGATAGGTTTAACCCTCAAAACGTAGCTAACTTATCATAAAACTAGTTGTAGGAGTTGTTTGGAAGAGAGGATTTTGATGTAGTGGTGAAAAGATGTATTATATCTTAAAATTGATCATTTTTAATTTATGTAACCATTTTTAAAAAAAAAAAAAGAAAAATGTAACTTTCCCCATTACACAGCAGTATCACACAAACAACAAATACAATAACTGAACTAGCTAACAAAACCAGCCAACTACAAGTAGTTAACCTCTAATTGCCAAAAGGGGCTTCTATCTTTATGATTGATAGAAAGGGTAATTACAAACATTAATTAATCACTACGTACAAGAGGATCCTCCATATTGTCTATGAGACTTTGGAGCCCTGATCTATAACTAGGATACAATAATTTTACGCCCAATTCTTTCTTGATATGAGCATTGCTCACTCGTTTTTCTGCACCCCCAAGAAGTATGCTATTGATAGAGTTATCAATAGCACCAATCAGACCAGGCCATTTTTGCTTTATCAGTTGGTGCGCAAGGGCAAAGACTTCGGCTCTAGAGGCAGGATCATCGTCAACAACATTATAAATCTTCCTGTAGAATAGATACATTGTAGATGAAATGTCGGCTTTCCAAAGGGTCCATCTGAATTATATAGGCAACCACTCATAATGCGCAAACAAAATACATGCAAAAACTGAAACCTAGTACAAAGTATATTACTGCTGTCATATAATTTTGCAGAATATAACATCCTCTACAATATGTATATAGTATCTAATCTATTTGTATACACTTCCAAAATCCCCGCACTCACTCTAGATAAGAAAAAACGAAGAGAAGAAGTATATGTCCTACACGATAACAATATCCAGCTTAATGAAATGAAGACAGGACCACAGCTGCAAAACCTGTGAGGGTGAAGTCTATGCACAAGAATTGTAAGGATTACATTTATTAAGTGCGAGACTCATTCAAGGTGCTCTTTCTGAGACTCTGAGCCACTTAACCCATACATTGCAAACTAAATCCTGTTTTTAATAAACAGATAATAAGATTAATTCAAGCAAATCCCTTCACAGTCCTTTTAAACTACATCATTAATGTCTGTAATTGACCCCTAGGAACCACGGGCGTAACTTCCCAACAATAACATACTACAAAAATCGACATTTGAACTTGGATTAATATATGTGCTTTGATAGACTGCTAATATCTGCAGAAACAACTTGGCGCTCTACTTCCCTGACATTTTGGAAGTAATTACATCTTTGAAATGGTATCAATAGGATTGCAACATAGCATACTTGACATAAAAATCTTTGGAAGTAGCAGCCTTTTGGATATAGCCTTAGTTCCTTTTGTTTCAAAACAGTAGCCTTATTTCCTTAGTTCCATTGCACTTTGGGACCTTCAGAGAAACCGTGCTATTTTGCTAGGATGCTTGGGAAGAGAGTCCAAGTTTCTATGAATTTTGAAACTGGTGTCATAAACAATCAAACATAGAGTAATTTAGGTGAATTAATCGTAGTTCAGGGTTGTCGGTGATTATTGGATAACAATCCCCTAATAATTGGTTAAGATTTTCCACAACCCTTAAAGGCTTAAAGAGGGCTTCACGAGTATGAACTACAAAACTATGTATAACCTTTGAAAAGAGTAAACTCAGGCCTTTTTCGGTCCAATATTGTCTATGAATTATGGTCCAGATTGCATAAATAAGTGCTGGAGGCTACTCAAAAGCAAGTGAAGGATAAGGAATTTTAAAGTTTTGAGGTTATGAGTTATGGTCCAGATTGCATAAATAAGCCAGTATCGGAGGATCTACAATGCATTAGATTCACAATTTGAGTTTTGAGGTTGAGTTTTGTTATATTAGCACTCCTAGATTCTGTGAGCTTTTCCAATGATCGCTGGAAAGGCTCTGAAAGGTGTGAGTGTTAGTTTTTATAATGGACTTAATCAAAATCTTTTTTAACCAGTGGCATCTCTAAATCAGATGTCCATTATGTACCCAGGTAAGAGCTTAGCGTGGTCCTTAGGCAACCATGGGAGATTGCTTTGGAGATGTAGAAACTTCTCTAATCTCCACACTTCCCACCATATTAACAACAGAACAAGCATGTGCTATGTTTATTCATAGGAGATTGGGAGCATAATCAGGTCTGGTGTCATCTATAAGTCATAGGGTCATTGAGCAACCTCATGATATTTCTCGCCGATTCTCTTAAAAATATTGAATACATGCACAAGTCTCATAGGCGTCACAAGCATGAGTTATGGATGTCAAATGAGCCCCATCTAGCACAGCTTTTGTCCAGTATTGCTACTTTTGATTGAATTCGAAAATTGGTTTTACAAAATCTCTTTAAAGTCATATAAGGTCCCTCAGCAATTGGCCATCCCCTAGTGGCTTACTAGTTGCAATTAAAATTTTCCCATGCATGCCATAGGGCTAAAACAAGGCAAGGCCAACTCAAGGGAACAACACCAAGGCAACGTGCAATGCCAAGTCAAGGCATCTTAAGACATGATTAAGAGGGGTGGGCCAAGACATGTATGAGATGGTTCCAGGCACCAAGTAGGCATCTCAAAGCCTTTTGGGAACCCCGAAAAGTACCTTGATGTATAATCTTGCTGGGTCCAAACAAGCTCTTTGTAGACCAAATTTGAAGTCTATAATACATGAGTTCGGACCAATTTCAGTAACCCAGTATCGTAAATTGACGTGAGGGTAGGGAAAGATCCTGGGGTCATATAATGTAGTTTGGAATCATATGCGGCCACTACTATCACAAAAGGCCTGTAGAGGCCTTAAGTTGATGAAAGGAGGAGTGTACGTAATCGGCTAAGTTGAGAGTTCAAAGACAAAGGGGCAACTTCAACCACCCAAATGGCCTCCTGGGGCCCATTAGAACCTCCCCTATCTCTTTCTGTTTTGGGCTCAAAAAAGTCTAAAATTACCAAGAAGAAGGCTATAATCCACACTTAAGGACCAATTTCGGGAGATTTTTCCAAAATCGAAGTGAATGTGGAGGGTGTCTCCAAGGGTCATAAAAGTTGGTTTTGAACCATAACAAGCTTACCAATAGGTCTATTTAATTCTATTTAAGATAGCTATTATGTATGTGAGCTACCTTAGAACACTAGAAGGGAAGAATACCTTACTTTATCTAGATGTTTTACTAGTGTTCAAAAGTGATGTCCAAGGGGTGTATCATGGCCTTTGATACAGCAATCAATGTCACAAGAGTTATAGCCTTCAAATTTGCTCATCAAGCTATTCTAAATTTAGCATCACTTATATTCAGATCGACAGTATCAATTCAGGATGCTATTAAAAAGCTGCCAAGGATGCAGTGCTTCTAGAATTCACTACACAAACTACCAATGTCTCGTAGGGATCTCTTAGCAGCATAAGTTCGTGTTAATTTCCACAGTAACAGGAGATTATAGAAAAGAACAGCTGGAGAACCACATGCAGTGTGCTATTGCAGTATTGCTTGGTAAGTTGGTAACTGAACTATTATGTCCACTTTCTGTCGAAGATCAAGCAGTCCAGTTCCAAATATTTTCTTAATGCACTTAAGTGTATAAATGCTTCATCAAAACTGCTAAATTATTAGACATATTTTCCAAAAATGCTAACTAGGAAACTAACCTCTGGACATGCAATGAAATGCTTGCTTTAAGAGCTTGACAAATGTCTGCAACATGAACCCGGGATGTAAAATTTCTAGTTGCTCTCCTCTTCTGACGTTCTGACATTTCTTTCTTCTTTAGAATAGTATCAATAGCACTGCAATACAACATAAATTGCATTAAAATTCTCCGCAGTAGCTACTTATAGCTCAAAGTTTATACTAAAGACATCACTGATTGACAATTAATCAGCAAACCTTCTTCCAGGGCCATATATACCACCAAGTCGAAATACATAGGTTGAGAGGTCAAGATCTTGTCCCAGCTTTAACCACCCTTCCTCTGACTTTAGTCTCATTTTGGCTAAATTGCTTGAAGGCTCAGGGATATTACTGCGGTAAATCAAGAATCTATAAGTCACCTGAGATATGATTATCACAGAAAATTCTGATTCAAAAAAACTACTGTGCAAAAGCTTACTTTTCATCAACCCATGCTCCTCTAGCATCTCCGTATATACCTGCATGTAAAAATAGTTTGTACAGAAAGAATAAGATGCCTTATTTACAAAACTTTATTAGATCTTAACTGAATAATGATACTTCAATAAAATCTTCAGCTAGGTTTCATAGTCCATTAGTCTAAAACAATACTAGTTAGCATAGTCTGCAGCTTTCCTTTGCATTATACAGTGACTTATTGAGACCTTTTGTCAATAAATCCCTTCCAATGTACTAGAGAAACACATCCGTCAAGGAATGCTCATATGGTTATCAAAATTTAACAAGAATAATAAAGTCAAATCATATCTGGATTCTGGAAACAATAAGATGCACTCTTCAATCCCTACCCCATGCCATGTGATTCCCTATTTACACTGGCACAACATTTTTCCAGGTAGACAGAATCAATGTATGGAGCACAGGAATAATTCAAAGCTATGCTTCATATACATCTATGAATGAAAACATAGAGCACGTACTTGTAGTTGACAAATAACAAAGCCACTGGAGATTTCCATCTACCAAACTTTCTTTAAAGGTATCTTCATGTTGAAGAATCTGCATCAAGCACGTTAACAAATAAATCTGAGAATGAAGAGTACACTTATCTGAGGCAATCTCAGTACTTTAAATATTAAAGAGTTTACAACTTACTGGATCACCAATATCCAAAATTGGGGGAATGGAAACTAAAAGGTGAGTACAGCATTTTAGTCTATCGAGGAACTTCCATCTGAGTCACATATTGGAGGATCCGAGGCAGTAAGAAACGGAACATAGTGAATCAGAGTATCCTGGCATTAAAACCTAAACCATCAGAAGTCTAGGCCCCTCCATAACAAGGGGAAAACAAGAAATTCCAAATGAAGCAATTCAGGTCTTATAAACAGGTTTCAATGAAACTTAAACTACGCTCCCTACTTTTTAGATAAAACATTCCAGGGAAAACAATGTTGTAGTATGATATGGTCAGCACATCCTACTTAAGATCCCCCTCATCAATTCAGGAAAAACATCAACAACCCGACTATCGAAATCTTGAATATTGATCATTTTTCAGGCAATTCAACAGCATGAAAAACCAAATACCAAAACAACTAGACGAAAGTAAACACTTACTCTGGTTCCATTGCATCAAAAACAAAGGTATCAAATCCCTTTTGTTCAAGAACCTTTTTCTTTGCATCGCTCATACAAGTACCTGCAACTTCCCTACAACTTCCTCATGTTAGCAACCTCTTGAGGCAACTTACAGTCTAACAGCATTCGAGCAACCAAGAACTTGTAAGTACATACATTATAAACACTAATAATCCCACATAAACATAACTATAGAATTAGAAATCAATGCAAAAACCATCATTGAAGATTATTTCAGTAGATAAAAGTCATAAAATTGCTAAAAACTTAATAAAATTTATGCATTACTTTATCCAATCCAACCCAAATGACCAAACTCCAAAGATTACCAGTACTTTTAACATGGCATATGAACGAAACTCCAATACCAAAACTTCAATTCACTTTGCCTAATTAATACCTCAAAACAACATCGATCACAAAAATCCCAAAATTTTCTTGATGATCATCAAAATAAGACCAACATCATAAGAAATATCAACAAAAGAGTAACATAATAATCAAATTGATAAATAAAAAGGAGAAATTAAGTACCATCCTTCATTCTTGAGCTCTTGAGCAAAGAATTGACCCACATAACCCATGCCAAGAATAAACATTTTTTTGGTAGGAAACTCAAGTTTTTTGCTCTCAATTTCAGATTTTAAGTGAGTTGTTGACGATGGAGTTTGCAATGACGATAAAGTTAGGAACTTTGGTGAAGTGGGACACCGGAGATTTCGCCGGATTAACGCCGGAGCTTTCGGAAGTTGTGCCGCCGGTATGGTATGAACTTTCATTTGCGAAAACTATAAACTTGAGAAAGCCAATTCGTAGAGTTGAAATTTCAAGCAAGTTCTTGTGCATAACTCATAAGCTTGATGCTTTGTGCTGTTGTGCAGGAGAACAAGGGTTTAACGAGAAAATACAAGTTTCTCATCTGTTTTTGAAGGGGCATTGTTGTCATTTTGACTAGGTAAGTTGGGATGAATTTGTATTTTCAGCCATAATACGGAATAGAAGGTTTTTTTTTTCTTTGGTAAGATGAAGGGCCCTACTGGGCCAGAATCCCTCACGGGTCAACCCAGTCCTGGTTACTAGGCTAGACAATTTGGAAGAGCGGGGGGAAAGTAAGGGAATCTCATCCCCAAATTGTCACTAGTGGAGATTGAACCTCCAACCTCATGGTTGAAAGGTGCTCTCCTTTCCACTAGACCAAACTTAGTTTGGTTACGGAGGAGAAGATTAGAAGTTAACAATTTGCTAGCTTCATGAATTCGAGTATTCGACTGAAATTCGAAAAGATGTTCAATGGAGATTTCAGAACAAGGATTTGACAAGAATATACAAGTTTTTCAACATGAGAAACGAAATCTGTTTCTCAAGGAGGAATTGTTATCATTTTGAGAAGGTAGGTGGGGGGTAAATTTGTATTTTCATCCATAATAAAAGTTCAAAATCTGCTAACCTTGTGAATTCGACTAAAATTCGAAGAGCTTATCAATGGATATTTTAAAAGGTGCTATGGAGTTTTCAAAAGCTCAAGGGCCGCCTCTCTCACTTCTTACTCCCTCCGAATTTAAATAAATGAAACGTTTCTCTTTTTCACGTATGTCATTCCAAAACTTTGACTGATAATATATTTAATTATCAATAAGTAAAAATTATAACAATTTAACATTAACAAACTATTTATTGAGACGATTCCAACAAGTGCCCACAAAACCATATTTAGTTAATAACAAACCTTAGTCAAAATAATTAATTAAAAAGTGTAAAAAGCCAAAATGTTTTACTAATTTAAATACGAAGGAGTACAAAAAATTACAAGGATTACACCATATAAAAGGGTGATATATTTCCAAAGACCCAAAGTCAAATTGTTTCTTATTTTCTTACATATACTTAAAACTAAACAAAATGGTAACTTTGGTGAAATGTTAGGGAACATTCTAGTAATCTCACCAAAATTAAATAAAAACCTACCAAAGTCCATCTCGAAAAATTCCCATTCAATTCTCACTTTCTCTCCCCCTAAATTCTCCTCCCCCAACATAATAAAATAAAATGATTCACCAACTAACTCCATCTAAATCATAATGAACAGAATCTCAAGAATGAAGACAAGACAAATCAAGCACTCTCCACATTTGTTGCAACACTAAATTACCATAAACTCTACGCAATTTCATGTTCTCTGCCTCCTTAAATATAATGTGTTTATTACCTCTATTTCTTATTATATGTAATAAAAGGGTATTATTTATAAGATACAAAATATAAGTTATTCTTTTGTTGGAAATAATATAAAACGGAGGTATATGTATTTTTATTATTACGTATATTATTCACTATATTATCTTGCATGCTTCTTTACATGGAAGATGAAAATGATGGATTTGAATCTAACGAAAGGTAAAATAAAGGGCAATGAATTGAAATAACTTGAAGGGCGTTATATTTTTGAACCGAAAATTATAAAACATATCATTACCATATAATTCATATGTTAGTAGTTCATATTACTTAGAGCAAGTCATCATAATTTAGACTATTCTCCACATATATATCCCTCATAATTTGTACTCCAAATTATTTAATTTTTACCAATTTTCCTTCTTGTTGATTTGTTATGCCATCCTTCATGCATTTATTTCAGCAGTAGTATATAAAATTGCAAAAGCAAATATATGTAAATAATGCAATTGGCAGCCATTGAGCCACACATCCAATTTGCCACGCAATAATTTCAACTAAACATATAAAAAACATTGAAGACTTGCTGTCTTGCCCACCTATACATATAAATCTCTATCAAATCCAAATTATTTGTCATTTAAGTTTCTTTTACACACTTTTTTTTTTTTTATTATTATTTATTTATTTTTAATTTTTTTTTAAAAAGAGGTCTTTTAGATTTATGATGCACATACATGACCAGCTTTTGTAATTTAACTTCTATAAAATCATGCAAGTAACACCAATACACTCATTTGGGTGAATTCTGATCTATGGATTGTATTTGGAATGTAATTCATCATGGTGAAGTATATATTTTAGTTATTCTCCTATTAATTTCTTGACTAGTTGTTAACTAGTCGGTTTATCGGTTTACCTCACTACTATTAGTTTCACTTGCTAGCTGTATCATTTTTCTAAATAATCTTTATTATACGGAGTATAAGTTAATTAAGACTAATTTAAGTTGGGTCGAAATTTACTACTCCAATCTAACACCGATACACCATTATATATTTATTTTACGTCAGTACTCCAATAATTCAATTACTCCCATCTAACAAAAATTGTCCCAATCTTCATTACTTCCCCTTATATTATCCCAATTTATCCCAATCTTTATTATCATTACCTACCCTTGTGTAAATGTTGTAATGAACACAAATTTCTGCAACGAACTATAAGAACTAGTTAACCTCAACCATAAAATTAGCTGTACTTCAGCTCAATATACTGAATAAGCTATGAAATGTAACAAGAAAACTCTTGAGCGTGAGAAGCATGTTTATAAACTTATGCACTTGTACAATCACCATTTTTATTGCTAGCCGGTACCTTTCAATTTATTTATAACCAACCAACCAACCAACCAAGACCAACTAATCTCCCACATAACACCTAATTTAATTCATTAAAATACATACATGTAGATTATCGATATCCAATCCACAACGTTAACAATCAAATTTTTATTTATAAATACGTGTTTTAGATTATAAAATACCCCTCCATCTCATATTATAGTTCCTATTTTCAATTTTAGAGACCCAAAATGTTATTCCTGTTTCTATTTTTGGATAATATGTAAAGACTATTAACCTTTTTTTTTTTTTTTTTTTTTTTTTTAACTTTATTCATTGTACTTCCTAAATTACCTTTGAATTTTCCACATGCTTTGTACTTTTTTCCACTTTCTCTCTCTAACTTTTGTCTATAATTGTACTCCGTACTTTTCATTTTTTTTTATATACTTCATTTACTTTCACTTCTCTAACTTTTGTCTATAATTGTACTTTTCACCTTTATTTATGTACTTCATTCACTTTCTCCTCTTATTTCTTAAATACCGTGGAAAAACACAAACATAAACTATATATTGGGAAGGAGGAAGTAGTTGATATGATCAAGCATATCTAACAAGATCACAATAATAACTCTATTTTTCGTGAAAAGTATAGCAGATGATCGATCAAAGGAGACTGCCTAAATATAATAATATAAAAGTCCAATTATCTCAATATTTAAATAAAAGGAGGGGAAGTATTAAATGTTCAACCGTTTATTAGCTCCCACCTCTACTATATATTTGACCTTATTTTGTCAACCCTTTCTTTAATTCATATTTTACCCTTTGTCTCCTCCATTGCCTTTCTTCTTTAATTTCTTTCTCCAAAATTCAAAAACTTTTATTAAAAAAAATCCCTTTGAAATGGAAGATGGTATGGTGAACACAACATTATTGGCAGTAATATCATGGAGTACCTATTTCATGTTAACAAAAAAATTGCTCCCAAATTATTCATATGAGTTTCGCAACAGAATTGTATCAACAACTCATGCAATTTTAGCTGTTACTTTAGCTTCTCATTCTGTTAAAGATTGGAGTTGCCCTGTTTGCCCAAGTAACACTAATTCCAACCCACAACAGGTAAAAAAAAAAAAAAAAAATTTAATTACTCCTCGGCCCGTCTCTAAAAGATCAAGATCCGATATTTTTATAATACGAGACAATCACAGTCTAAACAGAAAAAGGTTTTAAAGACAAATAAAGTATTTATCTTTGAATATTTTACGGGTTTTATTTATTTGGAGGTTTAATTATTTGTGTTATATTGTAGATGCAAGCCTTGGCAGTAACCATGGGGTATCTGATATATGATTTGGTATGCTCTCAATTTGACAAAAAATCAAATCTTGATAACACGATTCATCATTTGGTTAGCATTATCGGAATTGTAGCTGGAATTTCGTATCAAAAGGTACCCTTATTATTTTCATTTAAGGCTATGTTCAATACTTTGTACCAATAACACTTATTGACGTGTGATTTATTCGTACAAGAAAATGTATTTAACGTGAACGTTGAGACCCATGTTCAACAAAATCTTTTATGCATTTATTTATATCCGAGCTTATTTTTTGAGATTGAAATTAGTTTGAAAACAAATTGTAGTGTGTATCAGAGATGATAGCAGCATTGTTCATAACAGAGATATCAAGCCCATTTTTACATCTAAGGGAGTTTCTCAAAGAACTTGGATACCGGGATACTGATCTTAATCTGGCTGCTGATGTAAGTTTTTTATTTTTCACCTTTCACTAGAATTTACGTACTCTCTCAATGTTAAATTAATTGCTACATATGACTTTTCAACATAAAAATTTATTGATGTTGACTGTTTTTCTTTGCTATTTTATTGGAGTTGAAAGATATTATCACGATGGATGGATATTGCTAGATTATTTTAATTTATAATTACTTTAATATATTACGGTATAATTTTACATATTTTACTAAAAAAACTTACTTCTTGGAGATTGTGAAAATAATTTATGTTAGAGAGAATTAGAGATTACTATAATCAGACATTTTTGTATATAATTGTTTGAAAAATCTATAAAAATTTCAGCTTCTATCATTGGACAGTCTATCCAAGAAAAAATCAAGGTTTGAATAGATTTAACAACTTAATATTCTAAATAACTAAACAGAATTTACAAAATATGTCTCTATTATAGGCTTGTTAATTATTTTAGACCAAAGAAAATTGTATTATATGAACAATTTTTCATATTTTGGCAAATAAATAAATTAGAATTGATGTTTAAAGAGGCCAAATACAACTGCCAAAGTGCCAAGTACTCAGATGGGGACATAATTAAGGTAACGTATTTATGATGTGGCATTAATTATACTGTTCGTGAATATACTATCTTCGGTATCTATCACTTTAAATGATACACATTGGCCAACTAATAAATAATCGGCCATTATATTTTTGGCCAATACTTTGCCCTATTATCACCTCTTATACTATGACTTTTTTGTATTGTGTGGCAGATAATGTTTGCAGTTACATTCTCTATCGCAAGGATGGTCTTAGGTCCTTTCCTCTTTTTTGCTGTCTTATCAGCCGATAACCCACTCCTAATCAAGGTATTCGGTTAATCCCTCTATTTCTTTTTGTTACTTTATTTATATTCGAATATATTTTTGATGAAATTTATACACGGGTGAAAACAATGCGAACATGACTAACAAATTTTGGATTCATAAAGTTAGTAAGGGCGGTAATGGTTTTTGTACAAGTTTGTGGTACTAAAAAGTTAAAATTATTTGCAAGTAAATACATCAATTGTATAATAGATATGCAGACACATAATATATGTTACTCGTAATATTTGTACCTCATGTTAAATTCGCCTTTTTTTTTTTTTTTTTCTGGTCCAGGCAATGGCTGCAGGATTACAGTTTGTAAGTGCATATTGGTTCTACAAAATCTTGAAAATGGTTCAATTTAAACTCACTAAGAGAACAAGAAGCAAGAAGGTGGCTTGATTAATTTGCTATGATATAATGTCTAATCTTGAACTACATCTACATATATACTGTGATCATGAGAAATATGTCATGGATTCTCATATCATTTGCCCTATCGAACGTATGTCTAAAGTTCATATTTGACACCAGTATTTATATCATCAGCGGTCAATCGGAGCTTTCATCGTCTGCCTCCTTATTTTTTAACATGATTTGTTACAAACTGTCATCAATCCAAAGTTTTAGAAGATTATTCTACTCTTTTTCAATTCTTATTTACAAAAAAAAAAAAAAAAAATTATCAAGTGTATATTAATTAATTGGTAGTAGAGCTACATTTGTATTTAGAATTTATGAGTATGTTATAAGTATACGGGTCTATTTTTTCCTCAAAAAAATTACTAGCAAGTGTATTGTTGTAATTCTCTCATCTTGCACCCTAGAGATACTAATCCATGAAGTCAACAACAACAACAAAGCTTTAGTCCCAAAATGATTTGGGGTCGACAAACAACTAAGACACGAAGTCGAGGAAAAAAAAAATACTTCCCTTTGAGATCAAAGTTTGATCCTCGTCGTTTAGACAGGTGATCCACGCAATAGTTCAAGTTTTTCTTAGAAACGATTTGATCAAATTCGGATGGAAGTCATGGAACATATACAAATGTACTCTGTACTTCGCATTTACCTGTCCCATTAATCCAAACAATCGAGTTGCATCCTATTCTTTTCTTTTTCGATCATCTATAAAAATTCACAAAATAAAGTAAACACGTAATAGGTGCAAATACTCCTAAATACACTATCTCACTAAAAATACGGCTGTAACAAGTTGAAAAACAACTCTTAATTATGGAAATAATTGGTAGATATATGGACAATATGCATGGTGTTAGTTCATCATCATTTAAGTCTAAACGCGCCAACTTTGGTCCCACAAACTTGCTGCCCTTCATCATCAACCCTCTACCGCCATTAATGTACTTACTAACCACTGAAATATTCTAGTGAAAATTAGGAAATTGGTAGTGTCACAATTCACAAAACGCCATATAATACTCCGAACTTGGGAAATTCTATATAGTAGCCTCTAACTTTTAAAAATTCTATACAGTGGATATGGCATAAAAAATTGCTATAGAGTGAATTTGGATTAATTTATATAATGACCTTATAGGCAAATTTTGTACTTTCTCCGTTTTTAAATAATTGACACATTTAGCTCCTTTTTTTTCACTATCATTTTATCAGTATTGTATAAAAAGAAAACAAATTTAATCATGAAATATGTTGTTAAATCGATACTAAAAAAAAAGAATCAAAATATCAACTTTTTATTTTTTTTTGACGGGAAAATATCAACTTTTTATTTATATTTTTTACAAATATATAATTATATATATCTAAAGTCAAACTACAACATTGACATGCATGTGTGTCAAGTATGACTATGCCAATTATTTAGGAATAAAGGGAGTAGCTAACTCATCGTTAAGTAACCTTATACTAACAAATTAATTAATTTAGCCCCTTAGTTAAGTAACTAACCCACCCCTTAATTAACACTACCTCACCATTACCAACCCCACCACCTAAACCACCCCAAAAAGGCAAAAACCCCTACCTCCCTGCTATCCCCTAACATCAGACCACCTCCTTCGCACTATCGGCAACAACCACCAAAAGCAGTAGCCTGCGTCTCCTCATCGCCAAATCAAAACCAATGGCAGCCGTAAAGCGCCCCACAAATTGCAGCAACGACCACAATTGAGCCCTAAAATCATGCATATTGTTATAAAATTATTATACACGTATACAAACCGAACAATTGTGTCATTTTTGGTTTGTCGATTGAGCCATTGTGACCTGAATCAACAATCAAGAGTTTGTGACCACTATACTCAATTCTGATTAGCTAATTTTTGATTTTTTTTTTTTATTGGTCAAACTTATTAAAAATGTTTTTTTCTTTTTTAAAATATCATTACGGAATATTAGATTTTGAATATTAATTACTATTTCGTTTTACATTTTTTGTAACTTTGGGGTATTATTTGTGAAATATAAAATATTTTAAAGTTGCAAAAAATATAAAACAGAGGTAGTATTATATTTTTCAAAAATCTTTTTTATTCTCATAATTAATTATAAGTTTTTAAAGCAGAAAATTCATTTTTAATTAAGTTTGACCAACAAAAAATAAATAAAAAATTAGTCAATCAATTAAAATTGAGTATAGTAGTAGTAGTATTTTTAAGGATGAGTGCCATAAAAATATCCAAAATTGATGTTTGAAATCATGCAATAACAAACATGTTTACATATCTAAATATACCTGTCAATTAAAATGTAACATAGAAAGTACGATATTATAGTTATATTGTCGTAGTCCTTTATTGAGTTTATACAATCCTTATACAAAGTACGCAGTACAAACTCACAATCATTCATACAAGAATGAAACATAAATTTAATAAAAGTAAAGCATCATGACAAAGTAGTCATTTTTATATATTCAAACCGATATTTATTTCGTATATATCAAGCAGCGTGACATATACAGTAGTCCTTTTAATTTCTTCAAAGTTCAAACCTTCCCATAAGGCATTGCATCAAGCATCAAGAACCTTAGGTTTCTGAGATAACGTCTCAAGCAATATTGATCTTGCGGAGTCGATTGAAACGTGCTTACTATTCGAAAATTGCGACCGAAGTTGGTCAATCACGGTTTTATTCACTTGAAAAGCCTTAGTAAGAACCTTGTCCAAAATTTCAGGCGTTGTACCAAAGACACCATCAGCAACATTAACTCTTCCCGGGTTTTGGCTACCAAAAGCCGCGATTGCAAGAGCTTTTGATTTACCAAGATTGAATTGAAAATGGATTAGACCTTGAGGGAACACAATTATGTCACCCTCTTTCAATATAGTGTCATAGAGCTTGTAATCAGTGGACACAAAACCGGCGTATAGAGTTCCCTTCATGACCGCGAATGCCTGTGAGGCACGGGGGTGTAGATGAGGGGTGTTTAAACCAAAGGGTCCGAAATCTATACGAGCTATGGCTACACCGAGTGTGTTAAGTCCAGGAAATCGATTAACGTTCACCAGTGTAGCTTCTGCTCCTTGAGGGTTGTCAATGACGGAAGTCCTGTCAAAACCTTTGTACAAGAAATCGCTGATTGTCACCTCCTTTGGGTTCTTGCAGAACTTTCCATTCACAAACACTGCAAAAGAAAATATTATTTGTGAGACATAAAATATTCATATGTTGCAAATATATATATAATACGTCCAAATATTACTAAGCAACTCAGATCAGTCATAAGCTTAAGTTAGTTAAATTCTCGTGATTGATTATATACTCCATCACTAATGATCTTCTCGCCGTGAATAAATCAACAATATAATTTTGTCCAGTCAGCAGGACATTTTTGTAGATAAATCAATAATTGTGGGACTCAAATATTATAAAAAGTTGTTAATTTATTTACATTTTTGCCACTTGATAAACATATTTTGTATATCAAGGAGATAAACTTGTATTTTCTCGCCGTGCTATCTCTCATGCAACATACGATGAACATGATTTTCTCGCCGTGCTATCTCTCATGCAACATACGATGAACATTTCAACTAAAAAGTTAAGCCGGTTGTTAGAATTACAGGATTGATATTATATGTACGTACTCTATCGATACGAATAGTTAAAGGATTACAAGAATTAAATAAACACAAGAGAAGTAAAATAAACAGACCTGCAGAATAAGGGTCGTCAACACCCACACAGAAATCCTGAAGGGGAGCAGGATCAGATGCATTAGTAGTAGTAAAGCTCAATATTGCAATTACCGTAAATATAGCTAGAATAGCCCCATTTATAATTTTCTTCTCCATTTAACTTAGCTAACAAGAAATTACTTATCACTATTTTTTTTTAATAATTTAAAAGGATTTATTTTATTATAGAAGTATAGTTTAATTGTGTAATTGGGGTTATGGCAGTGGCTGAAATGGCCTATTTATAGCCCATAATCTAGCACAATAGTAGATCAAGTGAACAAGATATCAACTTGCGCATTTATAGTTTTCCTCACGTTGTACGTTATTCGTATTTTAATCACGATTGTCAATAAACTAAGAGATGTACTCACTATCTTTAATTGCTTATACACAAATTCATAAATATCAAGTTGCTTCATTTACATGGTATTCCATGAAGCTTCTTAATAGGGAGATAAAAATGAACTCAAAATTAATTTTAGTGGTCCAAATTACTATTTGTTACAAAGGTAGTTGTTCGCAAAAATGGTAATTTAAAAGGTAGTTGTTGACAAATTTTCCCAAGAAGTTTATACGAAGTATTAAAGTTTTGTAGGTGCCGAATGCAGAATATGAAGATTGCCGAGCTGGGCCACGGGGCTAGGGCCGAGCCTCCACTAGCCCCCCTTTGGCTCCAGCCCTGTATATGTTAGTGAAATTTTTGTTCTACATTACAAATGACGGGTAGTGTTAGAATGTATATCCCACATTGAAGAAAATGTATATATGGCAAGACAAGGTTGGGAGGTAACAATAGATCACTGCTTTCGTGAGGTCAATCGAGCAGCCGATTGGTTGGCCAACTTTGGCGTCACCTCGGAGGAGAAGTTGGTGATTTTTGAGGTGGTCCCTAGTGATCTTGGTACTGTTTTACTAGAGGACCTAGGTGGTGTTGCTCGGCCAAGGCTGGTTCCTATCTCCGGAGAGGAGTAACCGTAGCTAAGAGTTTAAGAAGTTTTAGTAGTTGCTTTTGTTTTCGTTGCAATTTGTTTTATTTTGTGTGTTTGTTTTCCTGTTTTGCTTTCTTGTTTCCTCCTTTACCAAAAAAAAAAAAAAAAATAATAATAATAATAATAATAATAATAATAATAATAATAATAATAAAAACATTGAAGAAAATAAAAAGTTACGTTTACTTTTTTAGGTTAAGGGAATACACCTCTCATTGCAATATAATTTTAAGGTTAACCTCCATAGACTTATAAAATGGACACTCGTGATGGCGGTGGAGGTGAGCTGTGTAGATAAGCTTGTTTAACATTAAAGTATCCTACTTTTTTTTTTTTTTTTTTTTTGACATTAAATAAACCAAAAGTATTGTATTCATGAGGAGTTCAACTACACTATATTTTTGAATATTCAAACACGCTAAAGATTCAGCATTAAAAATAAAGATGATTGATAATATGCATTACTAACTATTACAATTATCAACAAATAGTGGAAGTTCTTATGTTTAATTGAAAACAAATAATTTTAAAATATCAACATTTCATTTATTGATCTAATCGATTCAGCATTAAAATAAAGATGATTGATGTTACGCATTACTAACTATTACAATTATTAACAAATGGAGGAAGTTCTTATTTAAATGAAAATAAAAATTAAACATTGACAATTAAAAAATGAGAAAATTGCTTTTTAATAAAAACAGAGGAAGTAAATTCCCAATATCTTATGTAAAAACATTGGTTAGGCTTTGTTTGGTTTAACTTAATTTGTCAATTATTTATCTAAGTGTGTCATATCTTATTATGTTTTAAGGGTAATGCTATATGTAGTCCTAAGCATTTAATATCTTTTCCTTTTTGGTATAAGCTTAGGAATGCATGACAAAATCACGTACAGATCAGTGTAATTAATGAATATATTTTATTAATACTTTCCTCTTTTAGTTTCTTACACATAGCCCTTAGGGCTATCTGCCTAAATATAGCATTTTCCATGTTTTAAAAATCTCAAATTATTTGAACTGATTTTTTATTATTTAAATTTTGTTCTATTAAATAAATATAAATAAAAAAGTTCTAAATTATCGTGTGAATATGTAAATAGTGTAGCAAAAGGTCATAGTGTGGTCTTTTCCGGAAACAAAGGAGTACCGTAAATGAATATATACACGACTATCAATTTGTGATACAAAAGTACTTATAGGCATTTGTTCAAAAAAAATTATTTAATTATGATACTAGTGTGTGCTCGTGATTATGTACGGACATTTTTTGAGGAAATTATGTACGGACATTGATAATTTAGAAAGCTAAAAAATAGTTGAAAAAAATTAATAGAGATTATATTTTTACAAAATTTTATAAAAATCAGTAATATACTAGATGAAAGCCCGTGCGTTGCACGGTTTTTTCATCAATTTTTAATTATTTGATTTATTGTATTTAATAATTTCAGACAACAAAAGTTTAATATTTTTTTAGTATAATTTATAATGAATTTATTAAATATAAATAAATTGTAAATATGATATTTTTTCCGTCATATAAAATCTTTAATGTGAAATGATAAATTTTTAATAATTTAAATCCTAAATCATTATTCATTGTTTTACCATATCTTTTATTTCAATAGAATCACCAACCTCGTCCACAACCAACCTACTACATCAATGGATAAAAATGTTAGCCAATTTGAAATTGATATAAATTAAATATTTACATTTATATAAAATAAATCAATATATTTACCAATAAATGAAAAATTGTTGCGATATAAAATCAAATCTATGGATTGGAATTTTTTCATCATCTTTAAAAATAACCAAAGCCATCCATATATTAAGTATATAACATCGTATGCCATTACATAAACAAATAATTGTTAAGTATCCTAAATAAATACAATGTAAGTAATAATAACAGCTATAAATTTAAACATAAGATTTTAAAAATTACCCGGACATTGATGACCTAAAACTAACACAAAATTCGCTTGATAGGGTTTTAAATATAAATTTAAACATAGGATTTTAAAAATTAAGCTTCATATTACCCGGCCATTGATGACCAAAAATTAACACAAAATTACTAACACAAAATTCGCTTCACGGTGTTTTTTTTATTGATACGAAATTTTAATTGTGTCGTATGATGTATCAATTTATAATGGTAGGTATCATAAATTTTAATTTAATTATAATTAACGAACAATTTACATTTCTTATCATAAATACTATAAAAATTTATCTTATATGATAGGTTTCAAACTTTATTATGCGTTTATCATTTAAATATTTTTTAGTATATTTTTTTTGGATTTCTTATACTCGTAGTATTGAATTAATAAATTTATCTTTTCCTATATTTTTACTTTATTTTTTTCATTAAAATAATTTAATTCGTGGATTATAATCTACGTGGAATTAAAATTTTAGATATATCAAATCTAATTCGTTACTTTTATATAAGTGGCGATGCACGATTTTTATTTTCATACATAAATCTCAAGAAAAGATATTTTCCTATAGACTCTAAGTTTATATATATATAATTACTTGATTTATTTTACTATTTAATAATTTAAGACGAAAAAAAAACACATAATAATTTAATTAAAGTGTTATTGCCTATTACAAAAGTATAACTTTTTTTTTAATGTAATTTATTATGCGACTTTATTTATTGTTGTTTTGTATTTTATTCGTTGTTGTTAGTTATATGACAACTGAATTTAATAATATGAAAAATTGTAAATATGATTACTAAAAAAAAAAAAATTGTAAATATGATATTTTATCGATTACATATTAGGTTAAAATCTTTAATGTGAAAAGATAATTTTTTTTTTTTCATTTTTTGAACAATTTAAACCTAAATCATTATTTGTTGTTTTTATAAAAAATAGAAATAATAAAAAATAATAAAAACATGTATACTATTTATCTTCTATTTCAATAGAATCATGTACTTCGTTCACACCTATATCTCTTCCATCTAATAAAGTGGATAAATAAAACATGTCAGCAAAAAAAAAAATTATATAAAATAATTGTTATAGTCTTATAAAATAAATCAATATATTTACCAGGAAGTGAAAATTTGTTGTGAAATTGATCTAAAAATTGTAATTGTACAAAATCAATCTATGCATTGGAATTTTTTCATCGTCCCTAATCGCCCGAACAATAGTATTTTGGAAAATTGAATCATTATTTTATTGTCACCGACAATGCGTGCAATATTGCAACCGTTATAGTCTTATAAAATAAACCAATATATTTACCAGGAAGTGAAAAATTGTTGTGAAATTGATCTAAAAATTGTAATTGTACAAAATCAAATCTATGCATTGGAATTTTTTCATCGTCCCTAATCGCCCGAACAATAGTATTTTGGAAAATTGAATCATTATTTTGTTATCACCGACAATACGTGCAATATTGCTTCTTATTTGTAATGAATGAAAAGTATTTAATTGAGTAAACTTTTCTTTTAATTAATTTTGGACGAATTGTACAAAGTTGGCTTTAATTGAGGTATGAGCGTAATCAAAATTAAGTTAATTTGATGACTTGATTAAGCTACCTAAATCACAAAAAATTAGTTCTAATCATAAAATTAATTAATATAAACTACAAAGGTTTATAAAAAAATTTAATAAATGCTAGCAATTTATAAAGATATAATACCTTCTTATCCAATAGGACCATCAGGCGAGAAACTCGTACTTTGATTTTCCAATTATTTTTGCTCGAATCTAATTCTCTGATTAAATCAGATCTGCGTGTAAAAACAAAATTTAGTAAACAAAACATAAGTATTCCAATTAAACACAATGTAAGCAATAATCACAAATATACATTTAAACATGGATTTTAAAAATTAAGCTAAGAATTACTCAGCCATTGATGACTAAAACTAACACAAAATTTGCTTGATTTGGTTTTGTATTGATAGAAATTTTGTTGGTGTTGTAAGATGCGTCAATTTATAATGGTATGCATCACAAATTTTAATTTATTTATTATTAAGGAATAATTTTTATTTCTTATCATAAACACTATCAAGATTTATCTTAGATATATAAATCCTATATGTAAAGATGATTTTTTAAAAATAATTTTTAGTTTTTTAAATAAATTAAATCATAATAAACCACTATTCGTTGTTTTAGTTACGTGGCAAAATTCTTAAATCTCATC